GTTAAATTTATTCCCAAGTATTTAATCTTGTGATTAGCTATTGTGAAAAGTATTGTTTCTCTTAGTTCTGGCTCTGTATTCTTTTTGTCACTGTAGAGAAAGCCAACTGATTTTTGTATGTTGATCTTGTATCCTGCTACTTTGCTGAATTGGTCAACTACGTCCAATAGTTTTCTTGCAATGGTGAATAATGGTTTGTGTCCATTATTTCAGGTCATCTCATTGAGGGCCTTCCTCTTTTTTCAGTGACACTCTGCTTTACCAAGCATGACACCCTTTTCAAGGGGCTGGTCCCTCCTGACAGCATGTCTAAAATATGTGAAGCAAAGACCAACTATTCTCTTTTCCAGGGAACATTCTGGCTGTAGTTGTTTCAAGGATTTGTTTATTCATCTGGAAATCCATGGTATAGTTAATGTTTTTCTAAACACAAGAATTCGAAGGCATTGATCTTTTTCTGGCTTTCCTTATTTACTCTCCAGTTTTCACACTCATATGCGATAACAGAAAAGATCCCAGCTTGGCTTAGGCACATTTTAGTTCTCAAGGTGACTTCATTTCACTTTTGACTGCCACATTTGTGGCTGCTATTTGTGTTTTGTTCTGTTGTATATAGTAGGATTCCTATGAGTTGGGACCACCTTAACTGTATCTGCATTGAATTTGGGATCATATTAGGGAACGATGACGGCTCCTTTGACAGCATCCACTGTACTCTCTCCCTCCTTGAGGATGTTGTAAGCCACAGTGGTAGCCCCCATGATGCCCTGGTACATATTTTCTTTTCAGTCATTGGACGTATGGCTGGCTCTCCCTCTGTGGACTGCCACCATTGGGTTCATGCTGCCAGCCCCGAGAAGACTGTGGGTCTTACACGGGCTGTTGAGACCACCCTCTGCAGCCTTCAGCTTCCCTGCTTGCCTAAATGGCCATAATATCTTTTTAGTCTGTATGTGGAACAGATTATTCAGGAGGCTGGATGTTATGGGGAGGAGTGTGACATCAGTGCTGGAGGAAGACTCATTAACAGCTTGTGCTATGCAGATGACACAACCTTGGTTGCCAAAACTGAGGAGGATCTGAAGCTTTTAATGTAAAATGTCAAGGATTTCAGTCTGCAATTTGGACTGAAGTTCAACATCAAGAAAAGAAAGATTCTCACCACTGAGCCAATTGGCAGCACCATGATAGATGGAAAAGAGATTGAGATTGATTAGCAATTTCAGATTGCTTGATTCTGCAATCAACACCCTTGGCACCAGCAGTCAGGAAATTAAAAGAGGAAATATATTAAGAAAATCTTTTGTCAAGGACCTCTCCAGAATGCTAAAGAGTAACAGTGTCAGGCCAGTGACTAAGGTGTACTTGATCCAGGCAATTATTTGCTGTGCATCAGAAAGCTGGACAGTGAATAAGGATGACAGAAGAAGAATTGATATCTCTGAGTTGTGCTGGAGAAGAATCTTGAACATATCCTGGGTGGCCAAGAGAACAAACAGGTTTGTCCTAAAGAGGGTGAATTGGGTTGTGCTTTGGAGGAAGGATTTTGAAACTCTGTTTGACAAACTTAGATCATGTTGCCAGGAGAGACTGTGTTTGGAAGGGTGAAAGGATAGGAAGACCCAGAAAGAGACAGATTGGCAAAGTAATTGAGAAAGTAGAGTTGTTGGAGACAGAGAGACTGGCTCAGGCTCTGCAGGGTTCAGAGCTATGGTGAATGGAGTCTCTATGAGTCACAGTCGACTTGATAGCACAATAACAATTCTTTTTTTCAGCAATTAATAACAACTGGCTTCTATAGAGAATATTTTATAGAAACTATTTTATTTAATCATAAATTCTAAACATAAGAATTTGAACTGTATATAGTAGAATTCCTATGAGTTGGGATCATCCTAACTGTACCTGCATTGAATTCGGGATCATTTTAGGGAACGATGAAGAGGTGGAAATCAGGATTCTCACTACCACTGCCCCGATAAGGGCTTCCATATCAGCTTGCAGCCAAGCTCCACATCACACGGCTCTCAGGGAGACTGGATCCAGACACTCAGCCTACATTCCCACATTCTTCAACCTCCCACTACATGCTCTCCACCATGGCATGGGGTCTCGTGCCCTGTACTGTCTCCTTCCAGCTCTACTTGACCATTTCATTCCTCCCTCCTTCCCTCTAGGCTTCTGGGAGGGTGTTGGGGCCGTGAAAGGTTACAGAAGGAGGAGAAGACTTTCTTTGTTGCAGCTCCTGGACTTGCCTTCTGGACCTGGAGGGCCTCAACATGCAGCACCTGTGGCAACCAGGTGTGAAGGCATTGCTTCGGATGATTGAGGTGGTGGAGGACAACTATCCTGAGACCTTGGGCCGGCTGCTTATCGTACGGGCCCCCGAATCTTCCCAGTACTCTGGACGCTGGTAAGAACTGGAGCCAAGGCCTGGCGCACTTGGTGAGCTGATGCTGCCCTGCCCTGTCCTTGTCTCGCTTAATTCATTTTCTTTGTTTGTTTGAGGTTCTTAATTTATCTATTATTGTGATTTGAGTGAAAGTTTACTAAGCAGATTGACTTTTCATACAAACTCTGTTTCATAACATAAATTCACCTCATGTGAGGTACAATGTAATTGTACTTTCCCCACTTCTTTCTTGTAATTATTATTCCCATAATCCTTCTATTTGACCTCTTCCTGCCTTCAGGGCTGAGGCTTTTTTGACCTTATATAGTTGATTATTGTAAGGAATAAACTCTGGTGTTATTTGATATGTTATAAGCCTGTCAATTGCTTTGCTGAAAGCTATAACAGATAATAAGGTTTTTTATTATTTCATTTTTTTATAAAATTTTTAATGCATTATTGCTGAGAATATATCTATTTAAACAAACAACAGTTCAAGTTTCTACACATACCAGTCAGTGACTTTGATGAGATTCCTTCAGTTGTGAAACCATTCTCTCTTTCCTGAGTTGTGTCTCCCCTATTACCATGAATTCACTTTAAAGTGTTCATCTAATCTTTCAGGTTGCTGTTCTAATTTGATCTCATAGAGATAGTTCTTTTTAAAAAAACTTGAGGTTCATATCAATGTTGTATTATTATTTTATAATGGTATTTTTATTATTAAGAATACATATGGTAAAATATGCAGCAGTTCAACCATTTCTGCCCATACATTCAGTGATGCATATTATATTCTTTTAGTTGTGTAACTAATCTCATGCTCCTCCTCCAAGTTATTCCTTTCCCATTTGCTGTCTAAGCTTTCAATCTAATCTTTCAAGTTGTTTTTGCCATTTTGATTCTTTATAGTTCTTAAGAGTTGAGCCAGAATATTTGTTTTTCTATTGTTTCTTTATTGTAGTGGAGTTTTTTTTTAAATTTTTTAAAAAATTTTTAATTTTTGTGTAAGTGTACCGTCAAATCAGATCTGACTGGTACAGGAGGAGATTGTCCCTCCTTTCCCGGCGGAGCATCTGGTGGATTCGAACCGTGAGTCTCTGGGATTGTAGTTGCAGCTCCCTACCACTAGGCCACCAGAGCTCCCCTGTAGTGGAGGTTTTTATAATTTTTATTTTAAATTTTAATGTGAACTTTGTTTCACATACTTTGGTCATGTTGTCAGGAGGGGCCAGTCCTTGGACAAAGTCATCATGCTGGGAAAGGTCAGCAAAAGAGAAGAAGACCCTCAATGAAATGAATTAACATTAACTGTAATAGCTGACGGGGAACAGCTGGTACCCTCAAACCACGTGCCTTCGGGTTTGCAGAATAGCTTCTTGCCACTAGGCCACCAGAGATCCTTTAAAAAAAAATAACGTTAATTACCGCTAATGTAACAGCATCCTGTTTCCATCCTGTGATTCTCATCCTCCATTTTACTTGCATCTGAATTTTATCCATGAGCAAGTGCTGCCCTTTTGTTCTTGCATGACTGATTGTTCTAAGGCGTGAATAAATTCCTCATGATATTGTAGACCAAATAGGCCTGTCTAATGCAATTATTCTGCTCTTTAACACACTTCTCCAACACCACAACTCAAAGGCATCAATAATTTTTCTGTCATTCTTATTTATTGTCCAGGCCTCTAATGCATAGCCGATGATTGAGAAGACCATGGCCTGAATGAGGTGCACCTTAGTCTTCAAACTGACATCATTGTTCTTTAGCCTTTTGGAGAGGTTCTTGACAGTGGACTTGCCCAATGTAATACATCTCCTGATTTCCTGACTGCTGGTAACCAAAGTGTTGATTTTTGACCCAAGGAAGATGAAATAATTGAAATATTCAATCCTTTCTCCATATATGGACCATCTTCATCTATGGAGAAAGGATTGTGGACTATAGTCCTGTGGTGAGGACTTTTGTTTTCTTGATGTTGAGATGCAGTCCACACTAAAGGTTGTGGTCCTTGATGTATAGCAGTCCATTATTTTTCCTTTTTTTCATGTAAGTGGAGCATTGCATTTTTAGGTTCCTTTCATGCTGTAGTGAGTATCTGCCCTTTATTCTTTTCTGTGTCTGAATAATGTTTTTCTGATGGATTAACCACATTTTGCTCATTCCAGGTCAGTGAGCCTCCTCCCTGCATCCTTGGTGCTCATGGATGGGTTCAGTGATGGTGCTCAAATGAAGGAATGAGAGGGAGAATGGACATGAACCAACTCAATAACCAAACCATCTGGCACTGAGAATGGTTCCATGAAACCAAAAGACATCATTCTCATTTCCCCTCTTACAGATCAGCCCCTTTATCAATGAGAACAGTAGACAGAAATTCCTCATCTACAGTGGAAGCAATTACCAAGGTCCTGGGGGCCTTGTGGACTACCTGGATAGAGAAGTGATCCCTGATTTCCTGGGGGGCGAGTGCATGGTAAGCATGGTGTCTGGGGCCCAAAGGCTGGGCTGGTGGGTAGGAGGGCTGTTTTGCCATTTTAGCAAGGATCTCTGTCATCCTGGAGCCTCCAATACTGGGATTCCTGAGCTTCAGAGCTGCAGGACACTTGTTTTTCCTTGGAAAGGACTATTTAATGCTTTAAGGAGCTTGTATTAGGAACCTCCCCAAACACTCCCTGACTCTTCTCTGAGTATGTGATCTGAAGTTCATGCTTTCAAACAAGACACAGGCAGAAGTTTCAGGAAATACAGACCCCAAGTGTAAGGTTTACCATTATTGGGTCAAGCTGACTTGAGTCAGCCCTCTGTGTATCAGAGTGGAATTGTGTTCTGCAGGGATTTTGATGGCTGATATTTTGAGCACCATGTCTTGTCTTCTGAGGGGCCTCTGAATATGTACAAGCTTCAGTCTTTTGGTCAGCAGCTGATTGCATGGCCACTAGGGACTCTGTAAGAATGGAGAGACTTCATCTTAAGTACTTTGGACATGTTCTCAGTGGAGGCCTGCCCCAGGAGAGGGTCATCATACTCAGAAAAGCAGAGTGTCAGCAAGAGAAGAAGACGTCTTCCTCTATGAGATGGACTGACACAATGATTGCAGTACAGCTGAGATGTGAGGACATGCAGCACCAGGCAGGCATTGTTCTGTTATACATGAGATTGCTTGTGTTGTTAAGCAGCTGTCAGAGAGTTTACTTGCTTACTCTGCCCTCTGCTGCAATGAGTGAGACTTTAATTTCCCAGTGGCTCTAGACCTTGGCTGGTGTGCCCAGAAGAATTTGTCCCAAGACACATCCATACACTACCAGGCAACTGCTTCAAGGCAGACCTGTCAGCATCCCTTTTAATGACTCACCTTGGACCAAAATGATGGTGATTCCTCTCTTTTCACTGAGGGAAAGATTGAACACCAGGATGCATATTATTCAGATTTTAAAAAAAGATAATTTCTAGAAGTAGGGTGGCCATTACCTGTGCTCTGCACTTGCTATTGTCCACATGTAGGATTTATTTATGTTGAGTGGGTCTGCAAGTCAGAGCATTAGGCCTGAGGGTGGTGAACATGGAACAACAGCTAGTTAATATGGGTCTTTCTGTGTCTCTCTCTCCCTTTCTTAGCGAATGAACTTTATTGAGTGTTAGAGATAGTCTGGAATGGGTAAACATTCATTGATACGGCATAAAAATGGCTGCTTCTCTGGATAACAAAAAATAGGGAAAAATATACATTCTTATTGTTGTGTGCTGTAGAGTCAGAACTAATTCATAGCTGACCCTCTAATGGGTTTTCTGAGTCAGTATATCACACTTGAGGAGATTACCCATTCTCTTCTGGAGCAGCTGGTATATTTGAACCATTTGCCTTAGGGATTGCTGTGCAGCTTCTTACCACTAGACTTGGATCCACAATCAAAACAATTGGTAATTATGGGTGATTCTTTAGGAGAAATGGTAGCAAGAACCCTCTTCAGCAGTGACTAGCCTCTCCTATGGCCTGGGCACCAAGGATGTCTTTAGTTTGGGGAAGCCTGTACATTATAAAAAGGAGCTCCAGTGGTATAATCTGTAGAGGACTGTGGTGTTAACACAAAGGCATCACCTCGCTGTTGGTTCAGACCTGTCAGTAGCTCAGTGGGAGAAAGATGTGCAGTCCCTTCACATGTGATTTACAGTCTCTGAAAACCTATTGGAGGGTTAGCCATAAGTTGATTCTGACTCAATGGCAATGAAGTGAGAAGGCATAGTACAAAAAGGATCCCTGATAGCAGTGTTTAAGGCATTAACATGCTAACCACAAAGTTAGTGGTTCAACCCCCACCCCCTCCAGCTGTTCCAAGGGAGCAAGATGAAGCAGTTTGTTTCTATAAAGCTTCGCTGTCTTAGAAAACCCACGGAACCATTCTACAGGGTCATTGTCAGAATCTACTTGATGTGGTAAGATTGGTATAAGTCTTGGGGTGTGTCACCAGCCTAGGATTTTTCCATCCCCACAAATGAGGGGGAGGCACAGCCCCCTGGGGGTGCAGTGTGGAAAAGGTCCCAGATTTAGCCCTCAGCCAGTAGATTGGTAAGGGTCCTGAGTCTGAACTCAGATAAACTTGGGTCTGTATCTTTAGAGGGCCTTTGGTGAGGGACTGACTGCTCTGGGTCTGATCCTGCCCTGTGGAAGAGGGTGGGCAATTCATCTCAATCAATGAATGGTTCCAGAGGTTCCATGAGACCAGGAAAGCCCACCCTGTTGTGTGAACACAATGTTGGTCAGAGTTGTTTTGGGGCTCACAAGCACCTTCTCGAGGCAGGAAATGTTTTGATAGTCCTTGACTTAACATCTTTTAGCTTTTCTTTGATTTTGATTTAAAAAGTGATGGGAAAAGTATACCCAAATCCTTACTTCTTGCTACAAAGTGGACCCACTCATGGTGACCCTGTTTGTGGGAAAGTACTGTGTTCTTTGGGTTTGTGATGACTTATTGTTTGGCTGACTCCATCCTTTTGGTCAGCAGCATGGCTCAAGAACTAGGACCTCTGCAACCCTGACTGAGGCTTTCCCTGCCACACTGGTGGCAGGTGTGTTGCTGTGACACTGCTCCAGATGCAGACATAGTAGGAAGCAGGACTGACCATTCACCACTGGCCCTTGAAAACCCTGTGAACAAATGTGGAATGTTGCTGGATACAGTGCTGGGAGATGAGCCCTCAGGTAAGAAAGCACTCGAAAGAGGAGCTGGAATCTGTACAGCGACTGTGGCAATGGGCTCAAGCACAGCAGATTGTGAGAATGGAGCAGGACAAGGCCAGGTTATTCCCTTGTTGTACATGGGGTCCTAATTATTTGGAGCTGACGTGATAGCATCTAATAACAATGCTCATATAAATATGTATCATTTTAGCCATTTTTAAGTGTATAACACAATGGTGTAAAATGAATTCATGATGTCATAATAACTTTCTATTTCCCGAACTTTCTCAATACTCCAGGCAGAAACTCCTGGAGCCTTTTAAGCAATAGCTCCCCATTCCTTCTCCTCCCAGCCCCTGGTAACCAGGATTCTACTTTGTCTCTATGCATTTAGTTATTTTTGGATCTTTTGATCTTTTGTACAAGAGGGTCAGCACAGTACTTGTCTCCACCTTCTTTCCCCAGTGTAACATCCCTGAAGGAGGGCTGATTCCCAAGACACTCTATCTGATGGAAGAGGAGTATGAACATGCCAACCAGCTGCGGCAGTGGACCGAGGCCTACCATTCAGCTAGCGTGCTCCAGGGAGCCCCTCATGAGGTGCTGACCTTGGCCTGGGAGGGCTTGAGGGGCTGAAACTGGCCTCAGGTTCCCTCATTCAGAGCCTGAGGCAAAGGTTCTCCTATCAGTGCCTTTGATTGACAGCTCTTGGTGTGGAAAGAGGGGATCCTGTAAGATGAGAGGCAGGTTGGATGTGGGAGGAATCTAAACATGAGGTAGTTTAGCCTCTACCCAGCCCCAGCCTGAGTTCCACATGGAAAGGGTTTGGATAGTGAACAGCACCACAGAATGTCTCATCTTGCTCCAGGGGCATTCCTGTGATCTTTTTGTCCAACGCTGTTCTCAAAACCAGAGGGCAACTTTAGCAGCCCACACTCAGAGACATGGCTGGGCCTCCCTCCTGGGTTGCTTCCCCATTCAAGCTCTTCTCCTGGGAGGTTCGGAAAAGAGGTTGAGGGGCTGGTCCTGGCCTGGACTCTCAGTCTCACCCTCACTCTGTCCAGCAGGTGACGGTGGAGATTCTAGAAGGAGAATTTGTTATTACCTGGGACTTTGACATCCTTCGAGGAAATGTGGTGTTCAACCTGTACCATGCCAAGCAGGCTCCCATGCTGGGCCTCCAGAAGTCTGGGGCCAGGGCTAGTGGGCAGCTGGTGGACAGAAGCTGGGGCTTGGATACCAACTATAGCCTTGTGGAGGCTCCCTCGCTCTGCCGAGAAGGAGAGAGCATTCAGGTACCTGCTCTGCTTAGGAGTGTGCTCTCCTTGCACTGCTAAGTGTCCCCTAGGTACCAGGCTCTGGAATGCGGAGGTAGACAAAGCAGATGAGGTCTCAGCCTTGAGGACCCCAGTGGACGGTGAAGGAGAGAAACATCACATAAGCTCACACCTAGCCAAGTGGCAGTTCATACAAGCTAGAAATCACGCTTGAGGGCCTGGCAGCACATTGATGGGGCAGGGTGCAGAGTGCCTTGGTTTACCCATCTGAGAAATGGGAATCATAGCAAATATAGAAGTGTATTGAGTTCCCTGGGGCTATTTCAGGGGTCTCTGGATGGTGCAGATGACTAAATGTTTGACTGCTAGCCAAAAGCTTGACTTGAATCGACCCAAAGATGCCCTAGAAGAAAGGCCTGGCAATCTGTTTTTGAACAGCTACAGCCTTGAAAATCTTTATACAGCACAGTTCTACTCTGCAACAGGCTTGGGAATTGTGTGTGTGATAATGAACTAGAATCAACTTGATAGCACTTGCTGCTATTATTGTTGTTATTGTTATGTGCCATCGAGTTGTTTGCGACTCATAGCGACCCTATGTACAACAGCCCTAAACCCTGCTCTATCTTGTGCCAATCGCACTGCCTCTGACACACCCATCCCGAT